ACTTGCCATGCAATGGACCTCGATGGATGTTGATTGCCTGATTAGATGTATTGACAGCACCACAATGTAGAAGCCCAACATTCCTGAAGATGTAAGGATGACAGAGGACTCGAAGAGGAAATAGTTATAGATGATACAACACCAAGACTTCAGTCACAAACTTCTTCAAATAAGCATCTTCTCAGCCACAATTGCCATTGATCTCCTGAGTATCTGTTTTGGTAGGAATATGATAAAGAAACCCAACGTTTGGGATGATGTGAGGATGAGAGAGCGCTCAGAAAAGAAAAGGTTATAGATGACACTGTAGCAAAACTTCAGTCCGCACTCTCTTGAAGGTGTCTTCTAAGCTTCAATGACCATAGATCATCTGATTATTTGTTTTGATGCAAGGTTGAGAGAGCACCATGGAAGGAGAGTTTCATAGGTGACACTGCAACAAGACTCACAATTTCTTTGAGACATTTTCTGAGCCTCGACATTCATTGCCTGATCGAATTCCTTGGCAGGAATAGGGTGAATAGGCAATACCTCTTGTAGATGCAAACATGAAGGAGCGCTCATAAAAGGAAGGTTTATACATGACACTGCACCAAGATTTCAGTTATCAACCTCTTCGATGCATTTTCGCGACCTCAACCACCATTCGATCCCCTGATTGAATGTTCTAACCCAAAGGAATAAAGAATCCCAACATTTGTGGAGATGTCAAGATTAAGGAGCGTCCACCCAGTTAGCACAATGTCCGATTAACGTCCTAATTTGGTCACAAAACTGACCGATTTACGTCATGAAATGACGTCTTGTAGACTTCGAAAAGACGTCAAAATGTCACAGCCATAAGACGTCATATTTATACGTCGACATGATGTCTTGAGAATGAGCTATGGAGGACAAAATTTAAAAATCAGGGTATTGGCATATAAATAGCACTAACACACTAAGTACCTTTAACGAGATCCATCGATGACTTGGTTCTCCCGGGTGTAGTCCTGTTCTATCCTGGCGCTATCATCATTTTAGCATCTCTATGAAAGAATAACATTGGCTAATGATATTTGTATATGGAAACATGTAATGAGTGTCGGCGAAATGGAAGCGGAATAAAAGTACCTAGTTTGATTTCAACGTAAGAAAAGTTGGCAAATAAAGCTTCACGTTGTAGAGAAACGTATATGCAAACTGAAATTACGCAGAATAGATGATGAAAAGCTGATTAAATCTCTGATTGAGTATCTCATTCGGTTGGACGATAGAAAGTAGGAATTTGTAGTGACGTCATCATGATTCTCGGTATTATACGTCATTATGATTTCGTTGACCAAAATGACAGAAAAACGGCGTCATTATCGGTCAACTGAGGGTGGTGACAAAGACAGAATGAGTTGGTTGTGAATTGGTTCCCTATTTTTATCTGCTAGATATGCCCCATACTATAGATTGGATTCCTGAATTTATTTTTCATGTGTGATTCAATGAATATAGGAGTTAGATAAAAATGCTCACCTTTGTACACTCGAAAGAGCAGATTATTTACCTACATTCCTTCGCAAACTGCTAAAGAATGGGATTTAGATTCTAATGCAAATTCTGGAGAAAATAGAAAAAGAGCTAAATGACGAATGGCAAAAAGTTGACGTCCTGAAACAGTACATCATTTTCAGGTCTCTTTGCAGTCGAACTCCATAAACGATATCACAATAATTCAACTGTGATGATACTAAATCTGATACCAAAGGAAATCTACTCGGCTCTGAAATTAATATAGGTACACCCGCATCGCTCCTAGCTCCCTCAGTAAACGCATAAAAAAGTTATTATGTGAAACATTAGTACTAATGGTTAGAAACCAAACTAGTTCAGATTTAAATACGTGCTGGCTGTTTGCCCCATCAGTTTTATCGATATTTTCCTTCAAGTAGCGCTTTCATAAGGGCACGGGGAACCCCTTCTTTGAAGAACCCGTTAGTTTATGGTGTTGTCAAAAAACTAACTTTTTGACAATCCCCTTCATATACCATTCTGGTATATGAAATGTTCATTAAAAACCAATAGTATACGCTCTCAGGGCACGGGGCCCTTCATTTATTGAGAACCCGTTTTTTCTGACCCTTTGGAACTCTTGACTATGGACATTGACAGTTCAAGGAATAGCAGCATCATAATAAATTGTTTCAACTTCAAACCTTCCAATTAGGCTGAAGATGGTCTTTTATAAGACCGAAACATGTTCCTCATGATTTATTAACAATATCATTAAGATTTGTGGAGATGACTTCGAGCATTCCTTCCTTCCTGTTTAACTTTTTGGTGAGGAATTGGATTAATTTTGTTTTTTTGCATTCAACAGACTCCTTCGTTCAGTTTATTCGAGTGAGATATTGAATCCACAGTTATATTATTGTGCCTAATCATTGAATCAACCTAGTAGCACCAAAAAACATTCAATTTCGTTCCAATTTTCAATGCATTCGTTAGATATATATTTTTCATATCTTTTTTGCGTCCCAAGACACCAATGAAACGTTCATTGACGAAATACATGTCCCAAGTGTTCAATATCGATAGGTGACTTGGGACAACATGTTTTTATTTTTTTACCATAACGGGTTGATTTTTTGCACCAAATTCTATCCCAACTTGTAGTCCCAAGTATTTGGCATAGTACAGTATTTTTTTAAGGACCAAAAGTTCTGAAGTTTTTCAATTACGGTCAATTTAATCTTAAAATCGTCCCATGTCACTCAATTCTACGGTATTCAATTAGGAAACACCCTGTATAGCTATATATATATTTTATTTTATGTTCTGGTTCCCACGAAAAGGAATATCCTGTAATGTTCAGAGAACATCGTGAGAACCAAGGGAAATAAGGTGGGGATCGGTGTTCTTCTTGAATTTCTGAAGGTTATATGCCTCGGGGAACACCTCCCTTGGCAATGTGTTCCAGAGCCTCGTTGTTCGTGGATGAACGAGTCTTTGGGACCTATTCTGCAGGTCTCCAAAGTGACCACGAAGGGGTACGAAGCCTCAACTCGACGGATTAATCTCGCGGGGAGTTCCAAGGGAGGTACAATTGTTGATATTTCAGGAGAGCATCGTCCATGAAAATATCTATAAAATAGAACTAGAGCGCCAACTGTTCTACGGTGTTCCAGAGAAGTGACCCAGCAAACATGATTGAGCGGTAAATAGGCGGCCGATTGCTGGTAACTGCGGTTAGTTGTCGGCAGCGGCACACCTATGTCGTTAAAATGTTGAAACGACATCGGTTTTGCCGCCATGGCTGAACGTACGCATGTTTATAATGGATGTTTGTTATTCAGCCAGAAATTGCCCGTTTAAAATTCCCGACAATCGTGCCGATGTCGCTTTGACGCAGTATGTATGTTGTTTACAGGTCAGTGGTAACTGAACCAAACGCAATGTTGGCATCACTGGGTTTTTGAGCATTGGTAGTACTGCTAATGTATTTTCGTGTTTTAGTTCTGTGTCCGTAGATCGCGTCAGTTGTCTGTCACTTGTCTTCAGGTATTTGTTAAACGGCGTGATAATATTAATATTATTTAGAAAAAGTTGGTGAGTTTTATGATTGATCCCAGCAAACTATCGTCCGACATCAAGAATAATGATATATGTTATATAACAATAATTAAACTCGTTATTGTCTACCAATCCATTTTTGTGGTAATGATTTTGAGCTAAATATTTGTTCATTACCCTATATTATAACAATGATGCTCCAATGCGAAGTTCAGCTCTTTACCTATATTCGAAAAATATTTGATTCACAGTAATAGATCAAACACTGGAAAAGTAATGTGGCTAGAACATTATCAGACTAAACCTATTCTACGTCGTCGAATCAACAAGTTATGATAGGTATATCGTATATGATCAAATATCAAATATAATTGAAGTATTGTACTATTTCAATTCTGTTGACTGATGGATTCGTAATAGTATCTTTCAAGTTTCGCAGTAGCCTAGTGGTATAAGCGTCTGACAGTTGATTGGATATCCGTTCGATCGCAAGTTCGAGTCCGACTCCCGACTATATCTTTTTTTTATTTCTAACCGAATAGTGTCGGTAGATAGTCGGGCGGCCTACTAGCGGCCGGTGCGACACGGGCTAGCCGGGCCGACGATGTATCATGATTGTGGCCCGCTGATGTTGACTGTCGGCAGTTTTTGGAGGGCGTCTAAAGGCCCGCGCGATACATGTTTGCTGGGGAGTGAGTTAGTGAGCGAGGCATCACCCACGAGACGAATTGCGCTTTTTTTGGACCGAAAACACACAGACAGAAAACAGTTTCAGGATATGTTTGGGTGCTGCACTCCAAATATGGGAACAGTATTCCAGGACAGATCGAATTTGTGCATTTCATATCATAAGCAGCTGACTGGAAGTGAAATGGGTCCTGGCCCGAAACAGGCAACCAAGTGTTTGGGATGCACTTTTAGCAATTGATCTCACGTGATTTTCCCAAGAAAGATTATTGCTGATAGTAATACCAAGCACCGAAATGGATGTCTTCAAAGGTATGGTTACTTCTGAAAATCTTATGTTGGGCACAGTGAAATCGGCTCTTCTAGAGAAAAGGCATATGCTTGTGTTTTGTTTGCATTGAATTCTACCAAGTTATTGGATCCCCATTCGAGAATTGTTGTCAACATTTCTTCCTTGTTCGTTTCTGGATTGCTTGGCTGGTATTGGAGCCCTGGAAGAGAAGGCGGTATGGATAAAAAAATTTTGCCGTTAAAGTGTTAAAATGGGCCGAAGAATCGCCTCCTCAAATATTGATATTCAATTAGGAAACACCCTGTATAGAGCTATATAGATGTTTGAAGATACCTCGCGATTCGATAGACTGCCACAGTATATTTGTGGAGGAGTGTAGATAAATTGGCGTTATATCCATGTCGCGCCGCTGTCGCCATTATAGAGTTTTCTATCCTTGCTGTTGCCGGAGCTTGGGCATTGGGAATCGCGGTAGCGCAGTAGCAATTCGGCAGAGGAGCATCGGACTCGACTCGGGTGATCGCAATGGATCTGCTTTTCTGCTTTTAGTACACGTCTGTGCACTGTAGGCACAAAACAGTAAACATGATCTAACCTAAAATCAACCTAATCGGTAGTTAAACTGTATGTATATACATGTGTATCGACCACAATATACATGAATATATATGTGTTCAACTTTAAATAAAAATTACTCTCGAGCACTTAAAAACTTGTGAATAAAAATGTTGCAAACTAAACGAGGTACTCTTAAATAATTATGATAAAATCAAGCCGCTCTAAAACAAACTTAAATGCAAGCCTTTAAAACACAGTTCAGCATTGGCCCAAGATTGCTCTGACCTGCTGACCAATCTCCCGGATATGCAGCATTCTCGATATCAATGCAGTCCACGTCCACTGACGCTAATACTTCTTTTACACATCTGTCTATCGCTACCAAATGGTAGGCATCTGAGTTTCTTGGTGTCCCATTTTTAGCTTTCGTTCACTTCGGTCCCCAACGTAGTTTTTGTGAATCTCCTTTACCCATGCCTAATGAACCTAGTAGATGTTGATTTTTGTTTGCCTTGGCCAGTACCCTCGTTCATTTGGGAAGATGTTTGCAAGTAGATTTATGTACCATTTTGTGTATTCTTTTTGAATGCGAGTAGCTCCAATGTTTGCTAGTAATGATTATTGTTGAAGGCATTTTTTATATCATGTTAATGTTCAGGAATGAATTGTTAAATGTCAGGGCAAATCAATATTCTCATTGGAAAAAGTGCAATGAGTGCCTAGATATCATTGACAAATGAGTTGTTGAAGAACGATATTCCGAATTTGCATGATTTCTTACTTGATAATTGACGAACGATCGCAAATTGGCTGATTCTTTAAAACAAATATTAGCAAGAGCCGAAGGTATATGAATTTTCATTCAGCTTCAAGACAGCATAAAAAGAATGGAATCATCTTCTCTCAGGCAGTTCTGGGTTGCTTTATAGACCATAAAACGCATGTCTTCAATTCATGATTTTAATATACCAAGGGTCTTCATTTACAATTCGTTTGAAATGGACAAGTACTCACACCCATGCGTTCACTTGTCTAAAAACCACCTCCGTGTCACATTGACAATAAAGTTGTTTCGATATCGTTTTCTTTTCAATTCCTATAGGTACACTGATTTGTATCAGTATAGTCATCCAAGATGCATTCGTGAAATATCGAGTGAAATATACATGCCACTATCAACTGCAGCAAAAAAAAACATATTGACCTCAAGTTCTTTTATGTACCTGCTATAACAAGTATCTATCAACACTCATACTGATGAATTTTTGAGAGTTTCATCTGCATCTGTGATACCAAGATGAACAAACTTATTTTGTGACGTATTTTCACTTCCACACATATTTCATATAGTATATGAATTATTCGATACCTTGCCTTATACTGGAAACGTTCACTTTGGAAATATTGAAACAAGACACTGATTCTAAATTTTTTAAAACGAGTACTGAATTATGTTCCAATCGGAATTTTATGTTGAATGTACTATATCCTACTTATAATGAACTATTGAACATAAATGGATGCTGAATCAGGATCGTCTTTCAACTATATTTTCATAACTAGTTGTAATCACAAACGATAAGATCTCCACAAAAGTCCTAATCACACGACATGTTTCGCTAACACAGTAGCTTCTTCAGGTGCAATACTGGTACAATAAACCAAACTTACATTGTCTTGCCAAACTTTATTTAACTTGCTCAACTTTAGATTCACCGCTGTTGAATTTGTTTTTTTTAGGTAATATAAGGTATTTGCTATCAACCCTCACTCAAGTTGATACGGTACATCGTATTTTGATGTAGATATTGTGCCTATTTTTCAATAATGAAGGTTCATCGAACCTCTCCACAGGTAATTCTAATCCTCCAGGTTGAGGAAGTAGGATATGCAAGTCAAGCAAGCCAATGTAAGTTTAGTTTATTGTAACAATATTCCACCTGAAGAAGCTACTGTGTTAGCGGAACATGTCGTGCGATAAGAATTTTGTAGAAAACCTATCGTTTGTGAAGTTCTCTAAATTTACTATGAATTTTCTAATAACGGCCAAGTCAATCGAAAAATAATTGTATTCAGTTCGTATATCTGGAGAATAGTGAAAGTTGATTGATGGACAAAACTGAATTTCCATTATATCATGTTCTAAACGACAAATTCTTAGGCAACACAAGTGAATGGATTCCAATTTGAGAGATCTGGAATCTAGAAAAATAACTAGCAAATAATGTCTGAGCGAATATTATTACATTTAACACGAAACTAATCACACCTCATTGAAGTTTCACCATTTTGCTATTATCCATATCGAGAAGTACCTATTCGAAGATTGAGATATGTTACATATCTTGGATCAATGTACAGAACAACAGCTGAAAAACTACATCTCATCAATAAAGATGAACCCTTGTGTATAAATCCTCCTACATACATACGAAGAAACTTTATGTCTCTTTGGTGTGGCATAATAAGTACTAACTAATATTGAAAAAATAATGAATATTCCTTCAAACACAGTGCTGCAATTCAACGAGAATAAATATAGGTACGTCGATATTTTTCACTAGACAATTGACAGTTTAAAGCACCAATCAGGTTTATGCGAACATGGACGATAATTGCATGAAGAGCACATCCTGCACAGCTCAACCATTAGGGATTTAATTCAATAGATTCACTGAAGGAAATTGAATTCAACGATGACTATGATTTACCAATTCTTCCTTAGCATACTCATATCATTATTCATGATGAATCAACTCACCCTTATCAACATAAAATAGCAGCGTATGATTCACAGGCTAGTGAATCTTCCTTCCTCATAGGAAAATTTCGATGAAGAACTCGATATCACAACAAAAATATTGCAGTCAACAACGGTTATAACGTTGATTTGATGACAATATTCTTTCCCAGAATCTGCGTGAAAAAGCATTCCAAGAAGTTTAACGCATCATCAGAAACGGTTATCAAAATTATAGAACTTCCACCTATTCCGAGACCTATTCCTAGTATTATCGAAATTATTTCCATATTTACATAAAAAAGACTCGAGAGTTGCTCATTCCGAGTATTCACGTAGTGTGGAAAAGCTTTATAGCTCCATTGCAATTAGAAATGGACAAAATCTTCCAGGAGATACAGTCATGAGGTCTACAAATCGAAATAAATTTAATCTCTACAGCATGTTTCGCAATGATCAATATTCAGTTATCATGGGATAAAAAGAGACAATTCGAGAAAAACGTTCATATCTCGAGAAATATACATACCCATGACGAAATAAATATGACATCATATGAAACAGAATGAAAACTGGGAAACAGGGAAACAGGGAAACAGGGAAAAGTGAACAGAAAAATTCAACATACACCAACCATATATGTAGGTTGATTCTGAGGCCGCATCAAACTATCAAGTTTGATATTTTCATGCTTGATTGCTACCTTCAAGGGCACGTGTGGCTTTATGAAACATTAACATGAACCGTTAATCGATTATTTGATGTGTCTTTATGAAAAACACATCTTCATATGGACATTCATGTCATGTGAGCATATGTCTTGGTTCTGCCCATTTATTGCCTACATTAAATGAAATCCATCTTTATCCATTTTCATAACTATATGAACCTTGTAATGGGCTGATGATCGGCTTATATAAGCCTGAAACATGTTTCTTCATGGGAAATATTTGATCATTCTAAGACAATAACACAGATCCAAGAACATTTGGTTTCAAACGGTTTGATATTGAGTAATATAGGTAATGGTACTATAGGTAGAATAGGTGTACCATTACATCAATTCATCTAACGTGAATTTGGGAAAAATATTCGAGAAAACAGCTCATGTGAGAGTTTCTGTTGTTTAACAAGTTTAAAATATAATAAATAAAAGTTGTGGAGATAACTTATAGCGAAATTCCATTGGTAAAACTGGCTCGCACTGAGTTCATATTTTGTATCCCTTTGGTAAAACTGGTGTCGGGTTCTGAATTCCATTGGAGAACTGGTTCACCTAGTTCAGATCTCAGTGCAGTTTTGAAAATGGCGGTAACATTGAATATGCATAATTTAAAAATCAAAATTTCGTGGCAATCCAATCATCATCATCAAGTAGTGATGAAAATTTGGAATTCTCAAGAAAATAAGGAAACTACTTCCCATAATTCATAATTTTGTTGAGTGTTTTGCACTAAAATTCAATGATGAAGAGGTTCTTATTAAAAAAACTCCTCAGAATTATTTCCATGAAACATCTACTTTGGTTTTAATTGAAGTCAAGAAAGAATTTCAGGATACGGACAAGTTATGAACAATGACAAACCAATAGATCCAATTTAACCTCCAACAATAAAATTTTATTATATTATTTCGTATTCCATTGGGAATGCACCAGTTCACATTTTGGAGAGAACCAACGTAGTGCGGGTGGAAAACTGGTGCAAACCAGTGCACCACCAGGTTTACGAATGGAATTCACTATTAGTGTTTGCATTTATTAACTACACCACTCCACTTTAAGTTATCATTCACTTCTCTCAAAGATTTAATTTTGATGTTGTATATCAAGGCGTTCTGAATAAGTATGCCCAAATCCCAAACTTTCGCTATGGCTAGTTCTGACGCTAGATGCCGGTGAAGTCTGAATCGTGACTTTTTCTTTGTTTCCCCATTAACCTGCAGATATTGATTGATTATTTTCGAAAGAATATTCCGATTTTCTAGGGCGTAATTACTGAAATGATGTAATATGCATTTGTAATAATAAAGAATATTATGATAATGACCTCCCATTGAATACATACTCGTTTATGAAACGTTGAATTACGGATGGAATAGTGGAAACGTTACTGTATGGTTGGAAACTTCAACGTCACTGTATGGTTGAAAACTTCAACGTTGAAATCTGGTTGGAAAAACAAGAAATTTACACGTTACTCAGACGTACTATTTTTAACAATTCATTACATTGTATTGATCTACAACCACTATTAAACGTTGAGACAAAACAGTGATACTTTCAAGCAATAGTACATCATTTTATTTCATTGAAACAACTCCTTCACAAAGTACGATAGATTATTCGCCAGAAATTAGCTGTTTATATCGTTAGAATAATAATTTATTGAAACAGAAAAAATATTATGAATTTCAACGTTCAAAATTCACATATTTATAAGTAGTCGTAATCACGTTTGAGTACTGGTTGAAATAACGTGTATGTCAGCGACATTTTTGCGTTATTTCAACCGACCATTATGGTAATTCTATACTACGTTATTTCGTCGTGGGTATGTTAACTAGGGCTATCACATAAAGGTAGAAGTTACAAGGAATGGTAATGTGAAGATGCTAATGAATACTAATTTGTGCTTCTGTTGAAGAAC